TTTCCGAATCTACCAGGCATCCGACTTCACTTCCTTACATTCGGAATAAAAACGCATAACTGAAGTCTAATGCAATAACAATTCATAGATTCACTCTTAATAAAGGTCCGACAAAGGAGTTTATATAGGCTATCTGGAGGTTCGTATTGGGCACTGTGATTTCAAAGCGTCTGAGTAAGAGTGCAGAGACTTTGAGAAGAATTAATTAGAATTTCTGAGAAATTTTCAAGGAATTTTGCAGTTGTAACACATGTCTTCTTACCCATCCCCCCTCTGCACCCCTCTTTTGGGGATGTGTAGGGAAGGAGGAGTTGAGTAGCGGTTCTTGTTCAGCTAATTTTCTCGAAACGTTGCTCACGTTGATCTGAACTTGTACTCCAAAGGCAAAAAAACTATAATGCCCAGTTCGTTGATACAAAAAATTGGAAAACAATCCCCTAAAATGATTGAAAACCTTTTAGGTCACACAAGAATGTGTGACCCTTCCTCTTTGACGTGAAATATTTTTCCTTGTATTGGGTTAACCCTCACCTTTCCTTAGCCGCCGATGGATCCTCCTCCGAAGATTCTTGTTGCGCTGTTGGGGCTTCAGTCGTCGTGGTCGTTGTGGTCGTTGTTGACGTTTCCTTTTCTACTTCTTCAGCGGCGGTATCGTCGCTAGTCTGACGAGGAAAAAAACTCAAATTCATACAAACCGCAAAAAATTCCATATAAACAATAAAGACACCGTTTTCTCTTTGTCATCATCCACGTCTGTCTCCTCAGCGGATGGTGCTCCGCGGTCTACGGCTTGAGTTCCGGGAGCTCCTCCTTCTGGAATGGTATAATACGTTTCAGAACTATTAAAGGTCTCTGTTGAAAACTGGCCCCGTAATCGGTCAGAAAATTTAATTTTTCTTCTCGAACAAGCGATAGTTTGACCTACCTGAACTGGAGCCTACATCGTTGGTGTCTTCTTGTGTGTGCGCGACCTGTAGACCTGAAGATAAAATTTCTTGAGATGCTCTTAAAGCCTGCTCACACTACTGATACAAAAAGGGGTCAGCATAGTCTGTTCTACAGTGTTTTGATAGAACTCTTTAACCCTCCCTTCCTCCTCCCCCCCCCCCCATACGACATCTACTGGAATCAGCAACGGACTTTCAAGTTGGAAAAGGAAGAAATAAATGAGTTTCATGTGACCCTGGTCTGAATCAGTTCTTCTAGTTCTTCGGAAATGACCTGATGTAGATGGCCCCGCTCGAGAAGTTCACTCCTCCCTTTCCCCTACCCGGCTTCCACTTTCCCCTCTCCTCCCTCTTTCTTTGCTTCCCTCGCCTTACCTCTTCCCGGGAATCAGGTCACCAAACGTAGGCGATCATCGAAACCTGAGGTTAGGCTTGCGTTTAGGCTTAAGCTTATGCTAATGCTTACACATTGGCTCATGCTTGATCCTATGACTAGGCCTAGGCTTAGTTCTAGCTTGCTTCAAGCTAATGAGTGGTGTCATAGCACAACAACAAAGGCGGTGCAGTAGCAAAGGGCGCCGCTACGCGCGCCCAGTTCTAGGATCAAATCCTGGCTCGTGCGGCGCTTCAACAAACCAGGCCGCGCTCTGGGGTCCATCAATTGTTTACAGGTTTTGTAGGAGAATAAAAACACTGAGTTGAACATCGGCAAGCCTCGCTCCTCATCTGTAGGCCAAATGGAATTCACGTGCCATTAGGAATTTGAAGGGTAGTAGGATGCATGGCGTCTCCGAAAAAGGGATCAACCCTTTATTAATCCATCCGGAACTTTTGCGAATTTTCATAGATGAAGGTTGCTTGGGAATTCCAGTAACGTGGCTCGGGTGGCTACTGCGCAAAACGCGCCCCTGGGAGAAATTCGTTCCGGTTGAAGGAAATCATTGCAAAGTGCTTCAGAGCGATCCAGCGAGCACCTGATAGGACGAAACAAATGAGTTTCAGCAAGCTGAAAATTAATCCATTCTCGATATTGTGTCATGGACGATCGTGTGGAACGAGCTTAGCACAACAGACACAGAACGCAACATCTGCGCTGAAGACTGGAAAACCGTGTGATGAATCCCCGAGGTGGACAACACCCGCGAGAAACGCGTTGTTCGACTGAATACGCTCTCTCCAGGCAAAAATTATGTTGTTCCATTCTACGAGCTTTTTGTTGCTTAGCCGCTATGACCCCAAGACGGAAACTATTTTTATCTTGAAGGATCTCCCACAGAGGACGAAACACGAGATTGATCGATGTATATCTGTTCCGTGGACCATAAAACACTGTTTACACATCCTAATTCCTAGCGATTCTGTGTTAAGTGTCTCCAGTTGAGGGCGCTGGCGTGCTGATGACCGAATTCACCTGGAGCCTTTCAAGAAATTCCAGAAATGGACCAAAGAAACGATTTCTTAAACGCGGGACTATGCTTCCCGTCGCTCAGATCGTCTGATCACGATAGTCCGAATCGAGTGGAACGAACAAATCGAATGAAGTGAAGATGAAGGAGCGCCCTGACAGCCTGCGCCGGGATTTCATTGTTGACCACCGGGAAAGGAGAGACCAGGAGAAGATTCTTCTTAACCGGTTCGAGTTAGCCCACCAAACACGTACTTTTGCAGCAAAATGGGAAATCTTCAGTAGGAACTATATGAGAGAATTGTCCTCAAAGGTCTAGGAATGCCCGACCTGTGAAGGTTTCGAGACCTTGTCCTAATCAGTGCAGAGGGCTAATGAGGCTATGGAGGGTTCCATGAGGAAAAAAGCGGTACAAATGATAACACTGATCAAAAAACTTACCTGCCAGAAGAACGATAATGAATATGTGGTATTTCATGAGGTGTCGGAGGAGACGCAATGCGAGAAGCCGTTGAGACTGCGTCAGTCCGCCCCTTTTTGAGCGCTAGTCAGACGGATGGGAAACATCGCGGACGACGCCCAGACGCAGGTTGTCGTCTCTATTCAGACAGTGCAGTTGATCGAGAGTGTAGCTGAAACTGCGAATCAGTGCTGGAACGGGTAGATCACCAATTGCGCAACCAGCCACCGACTAGAGACCAAGCCATTCACGGACACACAGGCGAAACCGCTCGAGAAGCTGTCAGCTACAGTAATCAGTCAAGCAGAGATGAATCGCACTCGACAACAGGCCGATGTCGTGATGATGTTGGCAGGCAGATACGGTGTAGTTACATGAGTGTCGCTGTAATAAATGATCATGACAGCATTGCTAAACAAGAACCCGCAACCATACACCCGGGTCAGAGTTCATCGGGTCTTTCATAGTTCCCAAGGCAAAATTATGCGGAACTTTGGCAGCAGTCATAAGGTTTTCAGCTGCTACAGCTACATTTGTCAACCAAAGATTGAATTCGTATCTCTGTAATATGGTGAAAATGGAGTTTTGGGGCGGGGGTAGTCCTTCTTATCTTATCCTCATTTAGAAGCACTGCTTTGGGCTCAGTAACAATAAGGATAAGATAATACCGTAACCGTAAACGGCCTATTTCAAGTGTATTTTTGATAAGAAGCCTAATGTTCTACATCCACACGTCCTGCTCGCGTCCTATCCAATTATTGCACCTGGTCACCCACTCCGTGGCTTCCCCCCTTAGGCCTAGGCAAAGATGTCTATTTACATGGTTCGGTACCATTCCCTGGGCCTTTGCAGGTTGAAATGTGGAAGCACCCAGGAGTACTTCCACATTACACCATTACAGTACCTGTCATTAATTTGAAATTTTTATTATATGTTAAGAGCGCTCTTATCCCTTTTTCAGCATCGGAGAGTACAATGGAGTGCCCCCCCCCCAATTTCCACTATATAGTATTTATTACATGGATTCCATGTAAGGGTCTTGAAGCCTGCAATGAGATAAATTAGGAAACTTGAATCAGAAGTCATCCTTGTGCAGCATGGAGCTTGAAAATCTCAGTTCACTATTATAAGGAAAGCCAGGAACGATATGCTCAATGCCTACCCTTAATAACGCTCCCATTGACGGAATGGCACATTGAAGAGGGACTCCGGCCAATTTTGCGGTCGAGATAAAATCAAATCCACGCTCTTCTGTTCCGTCCCATAATTAGATCTGGATAAGAAGAACATGGAACTTCGACAATTAATCGAATTACGGTCGAAAATTTCGATTTCTCGAACGAACACGGACGCGCTCTCGGCTCAACGAATAGATTATAGTCACTCTCACTTGAACTTCGACACGCCGCTCTGAACGGCTTACCACGGTCCGCACTAGAAACTGACTATCTCTCGAATTCGACACAACAGGCTCAAGTAAACAAACGCGAAATCAACAGATAGTGAACACCACTTTCCATTTTAGCTCACGACAATTCGCTTTTTGTTATTCAACATATTTTTCTTAATGGCAGTACTCATTTTCTCCCTTTCAAAAACGAGAAGAGCGTCGGGTGCAGACCATACACCACAAGTGACGACGGCCTCCACAAAATGTAAATGTTTTCTGCCAATGAAATGATTAGCCTGTTGCAGTTGTATTCTATCAGTTGTCACTAATTACAACTATCATTTACCAAAAATCAGCTATCACTATGAACCACTACTAACCAGATTTACTTGGAGGCCGTCGTCACTTGTGGTGTATGGTCTGCACCCGACGCTCTTCTCGTTTTTGAAAAGGAGGGTACCTGGTCACGAACTTCACTGCTTCTAAATGAAGCGTATGAGGCACTCTTATATCGGCTTGATGCGGACTAGGTCCCAAACTAAGCTGACCCAGGATCCTATGAATGCGATAAGAGATTCAAACTCGCTAGAGTGAAAACTCTGCTTCCGACTTTGGTTCATCCCTCATTTGCGGTTTTGTTAATCGAGAACGCGTTTGTGCTAGTGGTAGAACCTCATTTCTTTTGTGGCTCAATTTTCCAAATATCCGTCCTTTTACCTTTCCAATGTCTAATTGTAAGGATATTAATCGCGAAAATATTTCCCAAATACCCTCGCTCACACTTTCTAAAGATCCGCTTCGTTGTCAGTAGCCTTGAGTTCCAGAAAAGAGTTAGGCACCGCTAGATCGCAGAAACAGAGTACGTCTGCAGGTACTGCAATATAAAAGACAATAGGGGTTGGGAGCGGAGGGGGAAGGGGTGAGTGTGCTTCGGAGTCTTACCCCAATTGAAATAAATGTTCAATCTATCTGATCCTTGTATGGGTTGATTGATCGCTGCGCTATTTGCAAGCCCAAGTAGCCCGCCCGCAACAGACAACGGAAACGAGTTTGATTGGGATTCATACTAGTAGAGCTTGAGAATTACTTGAAGATTCTGCACGGCAAAAGCCCTTCAATTCGCAGTACAGTTCGAATTGGGTTCAGGGTCCAAGCTCCCTATTTGACCCCATGCAGAACCATGCCATTTCATGCACATAATTTCCGGATGTAAAAGTCCACCATTTCCGTTCCCCGTGCAAACCGGGGACGATCAGTCGAAACTGAAAGTTCGCTCGGCAGCAGGTCAGACGTTTCGCTTCGCTACCCATGAGAATTGTTCGCCTTTTGGACGACATCCAGAAAGGGATGGTCTCCAGTGATCCATTAGCAATGCGTGTACGGCCTTTTTCAAAGAATGCGGCATGGACTGGAAACGAAATGAAGGGGACCATCTAGTCACCTTCTCGTGAAAGCACTGCCTCAAGGGCGGATTGGAAAACTTCTTTACTGCAAGTTTCGCTTCTCAATACAGAGTAACTAGCCATAAATATTTCATGATAGTTTCTGAAAATGCCGCTCTATTGATTCCTTAGACTCCGGTTAACTACAGGGATAGTTTGCTAGTATTGCAGCTACCACTGTTTCGGAATTTGGATCTGTATCTTGAATTCGCATGGACACATCCCATCACTGCTAGTCACCTTGAACTTCCTCGTGCAACCATGACTAGGGCTCTCACCTCCTTGTATTGATAAAACCATACTCGGATTGTTCATTTTGTGACTTCCTCCAAAGAGCTGGCAGATAAATCAGAAAACGCGATTAGATCAACGGCTAAATATTCCTCGGATATCCTCCCATAAGCAGAATCAGGCCCTCGATCGCTGCCCTCACCGTCTCTCAGAATATGACGTCATCTGTCATCACCGTCGAGCTCAAGGAGGCCTACCAGTAATCGCTCCAGCCTGAAGCTCTAACAATTCTTGGATCTCACCATTAAGTGCACGACTACACATTTGTGAAGGTGCTCCAAAAATTAGTTCACTGGAAAAATGAGAGGGTTTGAAGTAAAATCAGTTGGCTGGTTCATAGTTTTTTGGGGGTGTAGTGCATAAGATCTTCGGAGTAATGGTCACATTGAAAGCGGAAACAACCTACAGAAGCCTCGCAGCTGCTACCTGATGAGCAATTTTATCCTCCCTGTCAATGTGGTTTCGCTTATTGAAGTGGACGATTGGGTTGATGATGATCATTTATTATCGGATATCATTATTAAGAACACAACATCAAAGAAGGAAACAGAAACAAGTCACCGATAAGTTAAAAAAAAAAAACTCGAAATTAAGTGGGGTAGCAAGGATTGAAGCTGCGTGGGAGTGGAAAGTCGGCAAGAAAGGCAGTGGCCGGCCAACACACTGCAAGCTCCTGTGAAAGCGACGACGTAGAACCAGGGTCGGTCCTATCGTTGCTACTTTTCAAAAAGTTTTTACGACCCCCCTCCCTCATGAAATGTTTCATACGACCCCCTCCTTCAAAACAATTTTTACCCCAAAATTACCGTCGAGCGGGATATATACGCCTGAAACCGCAAAATTTTCTCCCGCGCCGCTCCCCACTCATCACATGCCACTTCTTACAACCGAAGCAAGTACGACCCCCCCCCCTCTACAAACTCACCAAAATACGACCCCCCGTTGCTACTTGTAGCAACATAGGGTTGACCCTGCGTAGAACTCCGGATACCGACTTAGTAGGTCCGCCAACTTGCCGAGATCCAACTCTCCGCATCGCAGGCCCAAGGGGGGATTATTTCCAAAACAACATGAAGAAATGAGACGTAAAATTGAAAATTGGTTGGCCGTACTATGAGGTTCATAAATCGAACCATTTGGCTCCATCTTAACCGCTCCACTCGCTACTAACTGTGGGATGTAATGATGGTGAAAAAAAGAAAAGCGTTTTTTTTAATCGTTTATGCATGTCATGCTTCTTGTCACTTTCAGAATCTTATTTGCATTTTGATGCGATATAGTCGATACAATGACTGAGGAGCCATCACACGATTCCACTTGATATTTTCAATAACCAGATCTCAGAAAGAGGTATAGCTTGATTGTTGTAGGACAATGAAATTGATCAAAGCGACACGGACAAGGGCGCCATTTGCCCACTACACCACTCTGCCTTAGCACCTTTAAAAACATATCTAAAGGAAGTCTCCATTTCTACCAGTCAATTGGATAAATTTGCTGGAAATATGGCTGATATAAGCCTAGCAAACTTACCGGATATTCGACGGTGAGGTGACCCTCTCACTTTCGCTTTATCGGAAAGTGAATGCCCCGACCCAAGCCGAGCGAGTTCCAACATTTCATGTCATCGGGGTAGCTTCAAATCTTGTTCTGATTCGATGCGAGATAGATTTGTGTCGCATAATTTGCCGATTTTAAAGTCATGTACATACGTGCGAAGGAATGATGACCTTCGTAAGGAATGTGGCCCGAGGAATCATCGCTCGGCTCGACCCACTCACCATCAAGCAACTGGCATATTGACAAACATGACGCTCATTTACAGTGCGCTTGTTGATCTATCCAAGCAAAAAAATAGTGAGCTAGCAATTTTACGGGATTAGTTACACAATCAGGGAGAAAAGTAGATTGCATACTATCTGAACACTGAGCCTAAAAATATCAAGAAAAGAATAAGAAAGAATAAGTTAGACTTCCATTTTGCATGTGCTCCTTATTTGTATAACAGATGCTTGATATTCTGCCTTACCCCTCAAAAGTAAAAAAAAACAGTAAAACCGTGAACACGGCTTTAAGCATACTTTTGGCGCTGTAGGTTGCACGGCTGAAACTTTCGGATATCCTTCGATGCTTGTTCATTGACCAATCATGAGCACTTTTTGCCATCTGAATAATATCCACAAGGGGATGGAGGCAAGAAAAGAGTCACTCTCCCTCCGCATTTAAACGAATAACCATCTGCTATACTCAAACCAAAAGATACGAATTGGAAATTGCCTATTTCAATCTATCAAAAAACTTCATGAGCCTTCCATGCCGACGACATCAGAAGAATTAGCCACGGGAACATGATGTACAGTACGAGCTCAACATGGTCGTCGTTGATGTGTGCCCAATTACGACGTGTCGATAAATCAGGTCAAAAGGGCGCTCAAATCAATCAAAATGTGTGTAGCCTTCAAAGGCCTCAGGCAAGCCTCAGGCCGAAGCGATCACGGTGGTCCTCTCTGGGCTCTACAGTGATGACAAATGACGCCATATTCTGAGGACAGTGAGAGCAGCGATCGAGGACCTGATTCTGGGAGAATATCCGAGGAATATTCAGCCGTCAATCTAATCGCGTTTTCGATTTATCTGCCAGCTCTTTGGAGAAAGTCACAAAATGAACAATCCGAGTATGGTTTTATCAATACTATATCGATACGGTCGTGAGTTGTACGATTTCATATGTCTTGCGTTTGCCTTATGCCCAACGTGTAAATAAATAAAATAAATAAAAATAAAATAAAAATAAATACAAGGAGGTGAGAGCCCTAGTCACGGTTGCACGAGGAAGTTCAAGGTGACTAGCAGTGGTGGGATGTGTCCATGCGAATTCAAGATACAGATCCAAATTCTGAAACACTGCTAGCTGCTATACTATAATACTATTCCTGTAGTTAACCGGAGTCTAAGGAATCAATAGAGCGGCATTTTCAGAAACTATCATGAAATATTTATGGCTAGTTACTCTGTATTGAGCGAAACTTGTAGTAAAGAAGTTTCAATCCGCCCTTGAGGCAGTGCTTTCACGAGAAGGTGACTAGGTGGTCCCCTTCATTTCGTTTCCAGTCCATGCCGCATTCGTTGAAAAAGGCCGTACACGCATTGCTAATGGATCACTGGAGACCATCCCTTTCTGGATGTCGTCCAAAAGGCGAACAATTCTCATGGGTAGCGAAGCGAAACGTCTGACCTG